AAAAAAAAAAAACAAGTGGCAGCGAAATTAATTTGCATAATGAAAGGAAAAAATATTTATTGCGTGGAAATTAAACTCACGTCTCTGCCTAAAAATAAATTTCAGAGAAAATGGACCTACTCATTTTTGTAGACTTGAAAAACTGGTTTTATAAATTCCCAAGATAAAAGGCTGCTGGGGTCATGAAGAAATGGGGTTATTCTACCAAAAAAAGAAATGATGAATAGAGAAAAAAATCAATTTTAAACGGCATTCATGCAGATGATCCTGCGAGGTCTTTGAAACTGAAATTTAGCAATGAGTAGGTAGCAACAAATGTGGCAGACAGAATGTTGCCGAAATGGCTATAGAATTCGCAGAATAAACCAGTTTAAATGTCTCAACATGAACTTACATTATCTCAGTGGTCACACGAAGAGGCCACTGTGTTTGCGTCAGCCTTATGCGGAAGAATTCTTGGAGGATATGAGAACTTATTCATTTGCTTTTTTATTTGTTTATGTGTCTGTTCATTTGAAAAGTTTTTCCATTAGTGTCTGCGTAGCTCATTTAGTATTTTTTTTCTTGTTTAGAATTGGTATAAGCAGCAGTGTTAGAGTGAGGGTTACTCTAGTGTTTCTTAATATTAGTCGTCCCTCTCTTAATTTATCGGAAAATTTCCTTTGACAACACTTTCCGTGCTGCTTTTTGCTCTCCAAAAGTACTTAAATAGGTAAACAGAGCAACGAGTAAGGAAAAAAACTTTTCTAAAAATTATGTTTGTTAAGAACAAACACTATTGAAATCCGGATTTTGATGCAGGTTTGCTCAAGGCAGCACATTTAGTTTTGGAAGTCTGGCATCTAGACAACAGTCTCCGGGCAGTTCAGTGTTTGGAGGATCGGGATTTAGCGCCTTGGCCGCTCAGGGCAATGCTAAGTCTCCTTCTGTCTTTGGCGGAGGTGTCAACATGTCATCCAGGTAAGGCTTGATTGTCTTTCGAGTAAACTTTGTTCGTATGTTTTTGTTCTAGTGTTTTGGTTCGTGTTTTTCGTTTTCCCTTAGAACTATGCCTGTCTTGTGTGTTAACTGTTTTCTCGTTTTAGCTCATCTTTTTCGACTTGGCGGTGAATGATGAAGGCTGGAGGGTTGCATTTTTTAGCATTTCTGGCAAATGTTTATTTCTTCTATTTTATTCGGTCTGGAACTTGTCTAGTGGAAGCTGTATGGTACTACCGTATGCAGTAGCAGCTGCCGTCTGATGATTTATTCTCTTCATTCATTTTTTTATGAAGTATTACGGTTCTTCTGTAGCTGGTTTGTATGTTAAAGTTTACGATTGGTTCGTGGTCTGCTCTTTCTTACAAAATTAATTTGCTTAATAGTTTTATGAACTTTATTATTGTTTTACATATTTCATAGTTGTATGATCAAAAATAAACTTGAGTGCATTTTGAGGGGAATGTTTTTTTCCTTCTTCTGAATAAACCCACTTGTTGCACTTGTCTTGCCGTATTTTGTGATTAAACAGCACTATTCTTACTGTGATTAACTAGTGGTTATTGAGAGTTTGAAGGTGTTTTAGAGCACTTAGACTCTTTGAACTCATACTAGGATGAGGTTGCTGTGTTACAATTCAAATTAATAAGTTTCCTCTTGCTTCGGGACGGTTACAGCTTAGTTTGAAATTGGATTTTAAGTTTTCTGTTTTTTCACCGGAAGTTTATTTTTTCAATCGCTATTTAGGACCACGACGGCTAGTCGAGAATTGTTTTTCTCTATCAGCTTGTTTCTTCTCAAATGTTTTAGTGGTATGGTCAGACGTGAAGGTGTAGTGGGTCTTTTATTTCAATGTTAATCATTAATCCTAAAAGTTTCAGAATGTGATGCAAGGCTTACCAACTTTTCGAGCCATTACTTGCTACAACTGGAGAAGTTTTAGTTGTGCGATCATCTCGTCGAGTCAAGCTGCTGCAGCGTTAAGGTCTTTCTATTTTGCCGTACACCCTGATCGATTTGGTGCTTTGCCTGAGGTTAGGCGTCAGAATGAGAGGTCTTTGCAGGTATTTTTCTCATACTGTTCCACCTGGAGTTTCTGACAGTCGTTATACTTATTCTTCGGCAGAGAAGAAGGCGGGACTGGGGTAGCTGTGCTCAAATTTAAACTCACTGTATTCAGTCGTTACCAAAATGCCTTACATTTTAGGTTTTTTTTATGGATATTAGGATTTGCTTTTTCCGAGTAATGTTTACAATCATTTGAGAAGAATGCATTTAAGCGGGTCATACTGTATATTTTTGCTTAGGTGTTCAATGGCTATCTTAATGATCTGCTGTCATTAAATAAGCCTCCAGTTACTCGGCCAATTCACTTTTTTGTTGCTGCTAAGGGTAACAGGGGTTTGAAGAAGATCGAACTTCGACTAACAGAGTCTAACCCCACTTTGCTGATTAAGTAATTCCTACGCTTGCATAGATTATGCTTCATCTTCTTAAAATATGACCATAATTTATTTGATTTGCTCTTCCGTATTCTCCTTTGGAGGATAATTCAGTAATCACTTGTGCGTGCCACTTTCAGGGCTGCTTTGGAAGCGTGTAGTCTGTGTACAAAAGAATCTGCCGCTGTAAAAAGTGCGACGAAAAGTTTCAATGGATACTCTGGGGCTGCTCCTGAAGCTCACGGTTTTTCGTTTGAATTAAGAAAAAAAAGAAGGCTTTTGCATTGTCATTCGAATTCACTAGCCGAGTTTTTGAGTCAACAGAGGAGCTCTGTTTTAGAGGCTGCTGAAAAATTTCGGTACTTTTTGCTTTATGATTTTTTTCGCGTTTGCTTAAAATCATGAGTCGTGTATTACCGTGATCTACATGTAATCATTGTTTTTTTCTTTACTGGTACGGCAAGGAACTTTCTTGTTTCTTATTTAGAAAAACTTTTGATTCACTGCAGGACGACATCAACTGTTTAAAGGACAAAACAGGACTTATTGATGTATGTCAGTTATTCCACTGAAAATTTTTTCAAAAATATTCGATAGTAGGTTTAGCATTCTATTGGAGAGCTTTTTTTGGGGGTGAGGAGATTTGAATTCTCAGAAATTTTGACCGCAGGGGAACCACTTAACGGACGGGGTATTCGAGAGAAGATGATTAACGAGTAGCTAAAACGCTTGAATTTCTTGTAGTTTTTTTTAATTCGCCGTTTATCTGTCCTTTTTAATGCACTAAAATTTATTTGTTAGGTGCAAACTAAACTTTTAGAGCATAAATTTTAACCGTCTGTAATAATTCGCAATATATTGTTTTTATTAATTTATAGTTTTTGCAGTCATTTGGAAACACATTACTAGTGGTCTTTACCAGTTGCTTTGTTATGCCTTTAAAGAAAACTTAAACAGTTGGCGATAATCATTTACACTGAAATACTTATTTACTTAAAAAGAAAACAGTGGTGCTCCTTTTAATTTGTAGTCCATGATGTTTCAGGTTTGTCTCAGGGTTGGAAGTAAGGGGGGAAACCATGTATCTTTGCGGAAATAGTTGGAGAAACGGTAGTTCTAGTGGATAGTCTGATTAGTTTTCTAATTTTTTCGTTGTTTTTACATGCCAAAATATCTTGGTTTTTTTATTTAGCGCTTCCTGTTTTCCCATTTCTTTGCTTCGCCTTTGTTTTACTGAGTAAGTATATGCATTTAAGATCATTTGGTCAGTCAGTTGGGCAATGACGCATATGAGGAGAAGCCTTTTGGCAGTTCGCCGTCTTATCGACAATTCAAATGATGATTTAGAACGTGTTTGTGGAGCTTTGAAGGGTTACTCACTGAGGTTTGCTCTTAACCTTGTTTCTTATTTCTGCCTATGGAAAAATTCCGGAGAAAAGTATTTGGGGCTATCGAAGTCAAATCTAATAACTCTTAACCATATTTTTTTTGTTGCTAGCCTACCTTAATCAACTGTCAACCTGAACTGGGAACTTCACACATCTTGATTCATCTGTGACACCTCCAAATTTGCATATTTAGTTTATCCTAATTTTCCAGCTGCTTGATACTGAAGTTTACTTTTGGCTATAATGACGAATCACAAGATTGACTTGTTGATAACACGTAATAGACGGTAATTGCGTCTTCTGACTGCAGCCTAGAATCCTGGAAAGTTTATATCCATTCTGGTCACACGTGCATTCTGTTGAAATACAGTGTTGTTGTTTCCAGTGAAATGCAGAATTTTCTCCACTATTGTAATTTTCTACTAAAGCAGTTTATAAATTTTTGATTATTGGATTCAGTCACAGTTACGAATAGTCATTCATCAAAGTTCTTCAGAAAAGTTGTGAATTTACAGTTGACTTCAGTCGACGGTGTTGCTTCACACATGATTCCGACGCAGGTTGGAGTTGCACTTCTCACAGAAATGTTACATTATCCTTCGTTTACGCTCAGGCACCGCTGTGGTAATATGAGATGGTGCTGGATTGGAGCTGGAATTTTCGAGGGTTAGCTTCTGAGTTTGAATGAGACCGCCTAAATAGATGAGCTTCTCTTCATTTATGCCTGGATTTCTTGTTTCCGCTTTATTCACCTGTGACAGTTCTGAGTCTCTTTCCCTTATTTCCGAACGACGTAATGCCAAAGTGACCTAAATTTCGCATCATTTAACAACAGTGACGTGAAGAAGACATGTGTTGTAATGGGTGGTATCTGTACCGGGTAACCGCAGTTTTGAAAATTCGGAGGATTTAAAATCCACTGCCTCTTCAGACCCTTAAAATTTACCTGTTTATACGCTATGCCGCGGTAAGTATGTGGAGATTCGCTGCGTAAAGCTGACAGAGGACTTACAAGTTATTAAGAAGATTCGAAATTACTAGAGAGAACAGTTTTTTCTGTGCATGGTTTGTTTAACTTGTTACAGAAAAATAAGGAAAATAAATTTTGCTTTTCTAGAACGGCTCTGCTTTCCATTCCACTTGCTGAAGGAGAATCAATATCCAGCGTACTACGCGTCATGAAATGCAGGGGTGCAAAATTCCACAAAAGTTAAAACCATACTTCAGTATATTTTTCTTTAAGAAGTAAGGTAATGCAGATAAGGCTAGGGTCATTGCGGATGCATAGAGTAAGGTCAAGAGATCTATAAGCAAAAAAAGTAGGAAATTAAATAGTGGAAAACTCATATGAAAAGTGTGAAAAGGTAAGAGTACCCAGATGCAGTTGGATGGGTATTTGATGTAGAGTTAAAATTGAACTTAAAAGTATGCTGCGTTAGCCTACTAAAGTAGATGAAATTGTTTTTGTGAAAAACATTTTTAATCTTTAGGCAAGTAGAGTTTGAGAACTACGACAGAATGAAGTTTAATTCAGGAGAAGGTGAAGGTGTGGAGTTTGAAACTTGACCTTTTGACGGAGAAGGTATATTGCGTTATGGAGACTTTGAATTTTGGATAAGCTTTGAAGAGTTTTGTAATGGAAATCGTAAAAGAGAATAAAGAAATGGTGAACTTGGAAGTGGGAGGGGGGCTTGCTGACGAGTTATGTTTTTTTTTTTTTTTCGGTGTGAATTGATAGTCAAAAATTAGTTTCGAGGACTTTCTCTAACACTGCAATTATTCTCTGATCAGGAACCGTCTTCAAAATTTAGGTTGTTTCAAAATGAAGAAAATCTGTTTTTGGCGGAAATAAGGTGGAATGAATTAGTATTATTATTTTTGAAGCTATTGCGCAAGCCGAGAGGTGTGAAGTTATTAGTTAGTTTCAGAAGAGACGGGACGTTTTTTTTTGACTCTGCCTAGCTTTTGCTTTCATGACCTTTTGTGGTCTGCTTGCTGGATCGTAATGAAATTGTCATTATTTAGGTTCGGCTGCGGTTCTTATTTGTGTACTGACGGCAATCTGCAGTTTGGTGTTGATGGTGTTCCTGAGGATTGGAAAAACGTTTGTTTAGAAGCTCAGAATCGCAGATCACAAATTACAACTTTAAATGTTTTAAGGGATCAACTTGCTAGCAGATTTGGGTTTGCAGAGATTATTGTTAGAAATGAGCGCCCACTCACCGAAACGATACAGTTTTTGCAAGTAATTCTTTTTGAATCAGTGCTGTTTATTGGTTTAAATAAAGGAAAACTCTTGTACTTTTTTCTACAGCTGCTAATTTAAAACTGAACTTGTCTGGTTTTTAAAAATGCAGATGTTAAATGCCCGGATTGGCGTACGAAGTGAACAAGTTGCTTTTTTAAAAAAACTCTTGAAGAACGTTTCTATTGAAGTAGTGGCTGCGTTTGAAGAAATTTCTCTCTCGAGGGTAGTTTTTTTTTCTTTATGATATTTCCTCATTATCTGTGATGTTCCTAGGTGTTTATAAATTCATTTTTACATTTAGGACGGTAGTGTTTTGGTTCCCTGTGGGAGTAATTATTTCCATTTAAAAACTTTCTTGGAGGAGAATATGGACACATTGCTTCGTTCTCGCAACGTTATTCGATTGCTTGAGGTCAAAGAAGTTGTCGGAAGCATCGCTCTGTTGTGTGACAACTTGCTAAGTACCAAAGTATTATGAACTTTTTCAGAGTGATGCAGAAAACTTGCGATGTGATTGCGTAGCGTCTTTGAAGCTTCAAGGTCTTTCGTGGCATAAAAATATTCATTATACTGATTTGGTTGCGTCACTCCGCCGGTTGTTACAGGTCAGTTTAAACTACTCGAATTGTTTTTTGTTTTAAACATAGTGCAGTTTGCTGGTAATTTTTTTCACTATCATTTTAACATTTTCACAATTCCACTTTTACACAACGATGTTTAGCTAACATCCTCCACTGTTTAATGCAGAGTTTAGTGTCCTAAAAACTTTCAGGTGGAAGGGAAGACACGATGTCTACTTAATGGTCTGTTCGTCCATTTTGGCGTCAATCCCTTAATACACATAACAAATGATGGTAAAATTTCCTTACCAGTTTCTTGGAATTTGTGACGGATTGGTGTAATTCGCTTATCGCTTACTTCTTAAATGTTTTTTCAGAAACTAATCCTTGGTAGTTTTACTCTTGTCATTATTCCTATAAAATATTATTTTCTTTTAGTGGCTGCTTAATGGCTATGTCTATCTCTGTTTAGCTATACGTACAGCTATGAGTTACTTAATTTGTGGATTAATTGTATGATTTCATAGTTGAATTTGCTAGACAAATAATTTGTTTTGGAAATTTTTTAACTTAACGTAATGAGAAGCATTTATCGATTTCCGTCTTTCCACAAACTTTTTCAGTTTGTTTTTTTGTTTGTTTTCCGTGCTGGTTCCTTACGATTTTTTCAAAATTCTTGATATTCTTCAAATTTTGCAAACCACTACGCTAAGGCTGGGTCGAACTATTGGTTCATATTTGCATTTTCTTCGCAGAGTTTTGGATTTGTACTACTTGTTTTAATTCACCATGTCTTTTACAGTCACTAATTGCTTTCTGCTTTTCTACATTTCCCTCTGAACAATGGTCGTTCCTTTTTCAAGATGATTTAGAAGCGTCTTGGTCTTATCTCCCACAGTTTACTGTAAGACTTTCTTTAGAGTTTACGCACGCTACCGAGCAATGTTTTGGCAGTGTAATAAAAAGCGTATCTAAATTACCATAGAGTTCTGTTTGGGAGCTAGGAACTCCCGATGAAATATGGTTGTGCTTTTAGGCCGAGAACTCGACTTTATGAAAAATAACTGCAAGGTGCTTTTGTTAAAAAATATTTTTGAAAACAAGTTTTTTTTGTATTACTTTCACTGTGTAGGCATTGTGCAGATTGGGGAAGTTGAAAACGTTACGAAGGAAGAACAGAAAGATAAGAGGAAGTTCTTTTCGTATTAGCTAACCAAACTTGTAAGAAACCGTTAAAGAAAGCGCAGTTATCTGTATTTTATTGAGGATTGCATTGGAGAGTTAGTAGGGGAGTTGAAAGACTAAAACAGTACCTGCTACAAAAGGGAGAGAGATTTTGTCGATGTTCAGATTTGCTTTTCCGGTCTACTATCGGGTTTCTTAAGTACTGTTTCTCTCTTATAACTTTTGATATTTTCGCCCGGCAGCATCGTTGTTCCGTTCTTATGGCTTTCCAGGACAAGACGTCGTCTTCACTGCTCTCTCGTTCGACGAAATACGGTCTCATTACACTGACTTCCTACCATGTATTGATAAACATGAAATATATATTATAAGTACATAGCCATCCCCTTCATGTGGCACGCGTTTTTCACGTGATGGTTCAGATGTTTCATAAATTTTGCTTCATGTTAATGCAGCAACTACCGACAATATTTTTTGTCGGAGAATAACCCACTCCTTCATATATACTTCCCAGCTAAGAGGCTTACTCATACCTTTGACTCATTGTTGCCGACACTCGCAGCACCAGTACACTCTAGAGGACTAGTCGCCAAGAACGTTACTGTTGGCGACAAGTGGTAAAACCCTGAAGTGTTGGACTACTACTTAATATATAACTACTGCTCAAAACCCCTGGGTATTGTGCAAATTAAAGAATACTTGAAATACTTAGACTTGACAATACATTATTAGAGCAAAAGTAAAAATTTAATACGTTGTATTGAAAATGCGTGATATTAAATTTCCAGAAAAAATCTTTTGAAAGCGTAGTTGTAGCGTAACATATTAAACTTACAAGCTGTTATAATTAAACTCTAAAGACTTTTCGGTTCACGCAGCAGTTTCGCGCCTTTGCAAAAGATGAATTCCTGGTTTCAATTGAAATATCGTTATAGTGCAGCATGCTTTATCCCGGATAATTCGATAATAGATATATGATAAGAAGTTTTTGCTACTGAGTGGTTTGAATGAAATTTCTCAAGAGAAAAGTATCGCTACAGCTAATTCCTCAACATGTGCTGCATTCCTTCACCAATGAACTCTCTTGACCGGATACGTGAAACTCAGCGCTACTAATAGCAAATACTTTTTGTCGTTGTCGTTCCAGTAGTGCGTTAATTTGAAATCCTGATGGAGACCTGAAAAAGGTGATTCGGGCAGCTACTCAGCGATATCACTAGACAAAGACGCGAACCACACACGACCCATTTGCCTACATCATATCCAAAAAAGAGTTCTTCGACTCACTTGTTCTTCAAACTCATTGTACTGCAGTGGCTGCAGATATGTTTCAACAACACTTTTCAAACGTTCTGAAAGGAAAATGCGACTCGAAAAAGGTTATCTGCTTTTTTGCGTAAAGTTGTAGGGGGCACTCAAACCGCAAAGATCTTCAAAAACTTATCTTCCGACCTAGATTCCGAAGTCGCAGCAGAATGACTTTTTCATCAAAACTGCCCAGACGCAAAAAATTTTCACTCAAAAGCTTGTTAGTGAACTACCCGAAGCAAAGAATGCGCCAATGCGACTATTCTTAAGCTGAAACCGGAACGATGCTACTCGCGCAAGCGCCAAAGTACTGCATAGGTTGAAAGTTTTCCGCATTCTAGTCTCACTAATCATATCGTATCTCAAGCACCA